TGGAGCGGTCTGGCATGGATTTCCTTGGGCACAAAGTATATCAAATTTGATTTGACTATCGATTGCAAGATTTTGCACTAAAAAGGCCATCCCAACCATTTGACTCAAATGGGCTAACAATGCGCAGTTGCTTCAAAAAATATTTTTTTTGCAAAATTTATAAAATAATTGCATACAACCTACTGGGTTTAGTATAATCATGCACAAATAACATTACTTTGACTAGGTTTGTGCTTCGTCATATATGGGTACCAAGTGTATTGAAAGTACCTACTGGAGCGGTCTGGCATGGATTTCCTTGGGCACAAAGTATATCAAATTTGATTTGACTATCGATTGCAAGATTTTGCACTAAAAAGGTCATCCCAACCATTTGACCCAAATGGGCTAACAATGGGCACTTGCTTCAAAAAATATTTTTTTGAGAAATTTATAAAATAATTGCGTACAACCTACTGGGTTTAGTATAATCATGCACAAAAAACATTTCCAAAAAGTGTTTTTTTGAAGCAAGTTGCCTTTGTTCACCTAAAGCGCTTCAAATGGGAATGGGGAACGAAAAAGGTTATTTAGAATAAATTATTGATGTACAACCTACTACATTCTGTATAACCCTTCATAAATATCACTAATGAGCCTCGGTTCATGATTCGTCAAGTAGGTACCAAATATACTGGAATGACTTGGCGGTTTGCTATCGATTTCCTTGGGCATAAAAGTTATGGACTCGAATATGACTATCCATTGGGAGATTTTACACCAAATGACTAAAATTTTTTTGCAAATTTTATTGAGTATCTACAGTGGCACCACGTTCAGAAAGTCCCTTACAGGGCGAGCCCGAGGGGGCTAGAAATTTAGACTGTACATTCTCATGCAAAATTGATATAAACAAGTACGCCATAACGCCCGTGCTATATGAGTTGCATAACATCAAGAGGAAGAGGAAACAGTAAAATTATTAATTTTATTTCAAATTATTACAATCACATTGAAATTAATAACGCTCACATTGACTAAATTAACACACAACGAATTGTACAATGTACATTGTCAATAAATTGATCTGTCGTAGGAATGTTATTTGCTTCTTAACCAAGAACGTATCACTTCCTTACGATTATTCATCGTTGGCGGCTTATTTATTTGAACACTACGGTAAGGTGCGTTATCCATAACCACAACTGAGTTTGCTGGTAAATTTTGTATAAGCTGCTTCTCTAACCACTGCATAAAGTTGGTAGGATTCATATCGTCGTGATAATCCCCCGATTTACTGTGCGACATCCTGTACAAAACCAGAACGACTACTAGCATACTACGATGTACCTCTGACCAGCCCTATTGGATTTATAAACTTCCAATACTTCATCTGATTGTGGGCATTTACTCACTCCGTACGATGGGTGAATATAGGTTTCGTCCAAGTATATAACGGGTCTTTTGTCACATTCAGGTGTTCGTTTTCTTTTAGTGTTAAATAACGAGAACACCATGTTACGATGTCACTTCTTTCCATTAACAACCTGCGTTTTTCATAACACTTTTTGTATCGAAAACCAACAATTGCTTGTGAGGAGTTTCCCTTCCATCCGTATAGTCGAGGTTTAAAACTCCCAACGATCTGCTTCTTTTTATCGATCAAAGAATTCGACTAATTTACGAATTATATTACGAGGTTCATTGTGAACAAGTTTTCTCTCCAAATTCATGATTTAGGGCTTCTATAACAATGTTTACATCAATTAGATACATTGGTAATGTTAGGTACAGTTTTACATCTAAAAACACTTTCAGGGAACTACATACCTTATAAGATCGTAGATCCAAGCTATATGAGTCTTGAAAAAGGCGAGTTTGTATAAAACTGGAGGCGTATGTAATTACTGATGTCATTAAAGTAGCATACATGTAGTTACAGTAACAAACATAACCTATAAATAACCTATAAAGAATTATTTGTTTAAAACCCCCATTGAAAAAAACTTTCGCCGCTCGTGTACTTGAAATTCGACTACACTAACATGGTAGAATTTATATGTTCCTGTAGCCAAACTTTTGTAGTCAAATATGCCTCAGTTTACCACGACTAGTGTATCAACTTTGACTACGTAGCCAAACTTGGCATTATGTAGCCGAACTTACCTTTTTATACGAGAAAGTGTAGCCAAACTTAACCGATAACATATATATATATATTATATATATAATATATATATATATATATATATATATATATATATATAATATAAAATGTATAAAACAACACAGTAACACAATAAGAACAAACAATTTACATCGAACATGAAGTGGTAAGCATGTATTCCTCTACGCTATAATAACATTTGTCTATAAGTAGATTGATAAGACACTAAACCTTCCCCATACCTCTTTTTATTAGTTAAAATAAAGGCTGTCACTATCATCCCGTTTTGAGTCGTTATAAAGATGGATAGCTACTAACATTTGTCTAGTAGATATTTATCGAGCGACAGTTGTTTCAGGGTATTACTTAGATTGTTGTATAACAAGACATTTCCAGAATTTTACATTGTTACATTATTTGTAGTCGAATAATCTGCATAATGATCTCTTCCATCATATCTTACGTCATCCACAGGGACAGGTATATTTTTTCCTCTCGAAGAAGGTTTACCATATGTCATCAAAAGGAATTTGCAAGATATAAATGCAATACTCTTGTGCTGTGCTCATTATTTGGGTACAATTTTTTCATCAAAATCCACGAATTTAGAACAGTCACATTCAAATATGAAAAAATTGACCACCACCATTTTCGTTGACGCATGCGGGTTTTATAAACAGCAACCATTTGGTCCATCAAATCTGTATCGCTCATAGATTTGTTGTAACTTGTAATGTAATAGTCTGTGACTGCATTACAATGTCTTTAGCTCCTTTCTTCTTATTCCATCGCCTGCAAGTATTTTCCTGTATGCTGTCAACATGGTAACAACTTGGTTATCTTGCCATTGTACTAGCAAAATGTTTTTTTCGGCATTGGTACAATAGCCATAAACCCCTCTTTTTTGATTTTTGGATTGTATGTTTAGTTTTCAATAAAGCTTTTTCTGTTCTATTGTGTCTAATTGTTCCACTAGCACAGTAACCTTGATCTGAAACAAGACATATCAATTCCACCGATGTGAAGTAATTATCGAAGTACAGCTTGTGCCCGATCTTAGGAGGTACTTCGATACTTTATATCAATATTATATCTAAATAAATAAAATACTTGGCCGTAGTCAACTGATGTATTCAGCAGATGAGTAAATTCTTTTCGAGTAGTTACGGTCGTAATGACTTTCTTTCCCTTTTGGGTTGCTTATGAAATTTTTCACTTCTATAAATCTGTGAGACTTTCTATCCCCTCCACTTTTTGAGTAAGACTTGATCCATTTTTTATTTTATGGCAAATTGTGTTGAAATACGCGTTAGAGCTCTAAATAGTTGTTGACACCTTCAACAAATATGAAAAAAAAGTGAAAGTGAGAAGCAATAAAATTTAGAATGCTTTAAGAAATTTGCGGAAAACTCATGATAGTTTCCATTTTCTTTGCGACACCAAGTAAATTATCCTGAGGAACTGTGTTAGTGCTTTCAAAAAATGTTTGGGGAATTTTCAGCTCACTTTCTTTTGATAATTCTTTACAATCCAAGTATGAAATTTTTTGAACGCAAACACAGTGAAATTGTCTAGATCTCTAGATAGATGTCCAAATTTGAGAATACATTACAATTGAAAAGAAACAACAAAATATTTTAACTTATGATTTAACAAATAGTTGATGTGATTTACTCGAAACCCACAAGTGATAAAAATCTTGGCACCATCAGAGAGCTGAGACAAAATTACTGGGAGTTTGTCAAAATTATTTTTTGATATCTTTGAAAATAAATGAACGCTAGCGGTTTTTTGACCATAACTTCGCTATTTGTGGAGCTACAAGAAACTATGAATGGGAAAGTTAATCTGGATAGAATTCTGCATAACTTTGTCCATCTAAGTGACTTTGTATCTCTTACGGTTTACCAGATTCCCATAGTGAAAATGGAAAACTCACCCTGTATATTGACCTTGATATACGATACTGAAATCATAAAAAAGCAAAACTTTCTTCTGTTGCCATAATTCTGAAACAAAGTACTTTATTAAATTTTGAATAATATACAAAAGGTACACTAAGGATTCAATAATTACATTGCGAGAGAAAATTGTAAGAAGCAGAGGAAGTATTTGTTATTGACAGAAACGTCATTTGTATTCGACTTGACTTCAGGATTGTGGCTGTTAATTTCGATGTTCGTAGGTTGAAAATTTTCTCCAAACGCTAACTTGGCTATAGAATACCGCGATTTCAAACTTACTGGAGGAATAACCTGCTGCTTGAAGTTTGCAAAACCGATGGAATTTTCCACTGCGGCAGGTAGAAGAAGATCCAATATTTGCTGTTCACACTAGCAACTGTGTACATTTTTTGACTCTGACTAACACATTGAATATCTTCATTTTAATGCCCGAGATTCTTTTTAATTAATAATAGCAATCTTGAAGTCGTAGTTCCTTATTCTTCCCTGGTATTCTTCCAGGCATTTAAGAATAAAATCAATTAAGGCACAGAGAGAAAGAATGTAACTTAATACATCAACATTTCATAAGACTGCATTATAATAACCATAATATGCCAAATGCATGACAACATTCCGACCTCTGTTCCAGCCCTGGTACTGATTTCGGCACTTCGTCTTAATTTGCAACTTTTTTTTTAATTAATTTTTTTTTGCTAAAAAAAGCAACAATATATCGATAGTCTTTTTTTAGTCAATCTCATCACAGTCCCTGCCTCACGTCTATGTTTTTCAACAGTATCACCAAGCAGTTCAACTTGAGGACAAGACGATGAGGGGGAAAACCCGAAGGATTCTCCTCGTTCAGGTAGACTACGTCGTGAATGGCGGCGTGTACGTCGAGTATCGGATTGTCTACCAGCGATTTGTCGGCGGAGAGGTACACTCCCTCTTCACCGGGCAAAACGTTCAAGATCTTGCGATTGAGCTGTCTTACGTCGACGCGTCTGGCGCTTAGAATGAGCCTGTCGGCCACCTCTTCGACGTTAGTTAGACCGCTTTCGTCCGGAAAGACGAATTTTATAAGATCTTCCTCGCCGTCGGTGGGCATTTCGGAAGGAACGCGGAACGTTCCGCTACCGTCCGCGTCTTTGCCTATACGCATCGACGAATTCGACCTCGTCCGCGTTGGCCCGCATGTTTCTCGTCAGTTCGATTTCCTCGAACGAAGCGAAGAGTTCGGAATTTTTGATCGAGGCCATGATCTGTTCGTGTATATCGTCGTGAACGACTACTGGCAAGAGCTGTCGCCAGTCTCCGCCCAGCAAGACTACCTTTCCGCCGAAAGCGCGCACGCTTCGTTCACCATTCCGAAGAGGTTTCTTTGCAGCATGCTAATCTCGTCGATTATTAGCAGTTCCGCCTTTCGGATTCGGTACGCGACGATGCTGTTATAGATGGGAGGAACGTAATCGGTGTACGTCACATCTCTCGGTAACTGGAAGGCGCTGTGAACCGTCGTTTCTCTTGGAAGTACCTGTGCCACGACGCCCGCCGATGCCGTTACCAGCGCGTACCTTTGCACTTGACGAAAATGTCAATCAACGTTTTGTACACGAACATTTTACCCGTACCGCCCGCGCCGCTCATGAAAATCAATCTGGGCACGTTTGTGGTGCCGGCGACGGAAGGAGAAATCTTGACGGCCGTTACGACGGCGTCGACGATTCGCCTTTGTTCGACGTTTAGCCGTTGATATATCGGCAGATTCGCGTAGTTGCGGACGTGTTCGCTTTCGATATCCTCCTCGTCGACGTTTTCCGACGGTAGAGCTACCGTCGGATCTAACAGATCTTCGTCGTTTAAGACTCGATCGTGACCGAAGAAGAAATGTCTTTCGTAGTCGCAAACGGAATCGTAATTGACCGGCATCAGTATGTGGTAATCAGCGTTGGTTTTCCATCGATGGCTGCTCAACAGACGATTTAACAGGCACAACGCAATGTTAATCCTTCTCGACTTTTCGCGATCGTCGTTTTCGCGTAATTTCTGGTGTCGTACATGAACGGAAGGAATTCGTTCCATAGCGCCAGCGGATCGATTACGTGGCCGCAAACCGCAGAGTAGTATTTGCGCGAATAAATTGCGCATCATTCGCGGATTGCCGACGTTGCTCGCTTCGAAAAGCGTTCTGCGCCAGATCTCTATATCTTCGAGAAGACCCATGACGTTCGCGCATTCGACGAACGTCTCGCAAGGCGTCGCGCGGTTGGGAGGAGTTCGTAATTCTTCCCAATTCAGCGGACCCTTTTTGCACATTACCAATTGGTATACCGCAAACTTCTCTACTTGTCTGGGCTGGACGGGATACAGACGACCGATAATTTTTCGCACCGGTTTCGTCGTAATCCACGGTCGGATTGTTCGCGTTGGTGATTTTGACGTACGCGTAGTTGCCGACCTTGAAGCTGTACTTGACGGTATACTTGCAAACGTTCGTGCAGTAGCAAAACTCCACGTTGTGGTGCGCGTCCCATGCAAACAGATAGGCGGGATTGTACGCAACCACCGAGGCGTTGGTGATTACGCGTCCCTTCGCCGTACGATATACGGCGCCTCCGTCGTCGGGAGATCTTACCTTGTACAGCGCCGGTCTGTCTTCATATGTGATGGTCTCGTTAGAGAACTTCTTGGGAAAGCCCTTGTTTCATTTCCCCTTTTCGTGGCTGTTGCAATCGTGAATTTGGTATTTCACGAATCTCGCAGTTTTCTTTGGACCTCCGCTTCGTCGCTTTTGTCGTCCTCGCTGGGCAAGTGCGGAATTTCGGCAGATACGTATTCGTCTACGTATTCGCTCGTGTTCGGGCAGTCTAAACTGACTAGACGATGCGTATGGGGTCCGCCACGCTTTTGAAGAGACTTTCAATAAAAGCGTTTTCTTTGCCGAAGATATGCTTGTCTTCGATGAGGTGTCGCATTTTGTTAATTTTCACGAGAAAGACTCGATTAACGATATCGGGACGATCGGTAGCATTTTGACCTCTTATTAAATGCTGTCTGATCTCTTTCCACGAAGGGTTGGTCGTGGAGGTAATCATAAAGGTCGCCTTCCCCTTTCGTTAAAACAGAGCCATGGCGTCGTGAAACATTTGCTGATACCAGGCCGGAGCACCGACCATTCTGGAAGACAACCGAATCACCTTCCCCAATTTTTTATTGTCGTCCACACGATGCAGCTCTCTTTCGAGCGCTTAACGAACTTCTGGCGCGGTCGTACAGAAGATTTCTGCATTTTTATGAATGTACACCTGTTGATCGATGATGTACTCCTGAATGATGCTACCGAACGGGTAAAGAAAGTGCGCGGCGGCTGTAGGATCGCGGACGCGAATTGCGAGATGGTATACCTATAGAATTCTCGTATAGACACGTGGTGCTTGTCGTCGCCCTCGTCGTCGTCGTGAACGGCGTCAGGAGGGTTAGCAATCTTGTTCTGTTCGCACGTCGCCGTCTGGGCGCGTTTTGCGATACCGCTGTGGTAGCCGGGGTCACCGGTGTGAAATTAGACCTTGCCACGCTATTTTTTTGCTTTTATTCATTTTCCTCTAAACACCTACTGAAACAATTCTATTTATAATTAAATAGAAAACCCTCTCTGCAAGTAGAAAAACGAGTCAATAAGGGTTGAACAAGCCACCCTCTCATCATATATCCAAAACGGCACATACTATTACGATCAAATTGTCGTGGATGCCTAATGACGGTTCGAGAATAAATAATCAACAAAAATACCCAGGTGCACGGCCGTCCAAGGGGTTCATATGTTACTAACATGCATAAATTTACACTTACTGTGTGGATGTTTATTTCGACATACGCATGTACTAGGTGGGCCAAAAGAAGTAATCCGATGTTGTTTTCGAGGAAGTTTCACTTTCTACTGTAGTCGAGAGGGAAGATTTGTTACTAGATATATCATGGACAGAAGGCGTTGGGACAAGTTTAGATAATTCTGGCATTATGGCTACTGGATTAACTTGAGTAGGTACTGTATTTTCACTGACATGCACATCTTGACCATACGACGGTTTTGAGTCGTCAACATCTATTGTGGGCGGGAAAGAGTCTATACATTGTTTTGTAGACATATCATGCACGTTATATTTCGGGGTAGACGTCATTAATTTGGGGGTATTCATTATTAGACGTAATTGTTCCGACGCCGACGGTAGAATCATGTTACCACGATCTGGGGAAATGCTTACCTTTTCGGTACAAGGGAACTGGTTAACAGTCTCGTACGTATTTGCTGTTGTCTAACGGCCAACTTTAAATTTTTCTCCACTTTGTTTTTAGAAAACTTGTGCTACAGGTAATAAAAACGTACACGATTTTTTTAATTGTTTTTTCCCCCAAAAGTTACACAGTGTAGAATACATGAGGTTATAACTTTTAACTGTTTGTTCGTCTGCTTGTAGGTCTCGAAATATATTACTTAGGTCGTCGCTGGCGACATCAGTACCGCTAATTAAATTTTCAGTTTTATTATTTGACAAGGTGTTTGCCACCATCTCCGAAAGTACTTTTTGAATATACAGTTTGTGTCGCATAACAAATCGATAAGCATCGCGCGAAGTCCTTCCTAATTTTGGTAAACAATGGATGATTCGATTTTAATTTAAACAATTTCACAGAATCACCAGTTCATCGAAAATGTTGAATGCAAACTAAAATCTTCTCAATAAGCGATTGAACTTTGTTTCCAAAAACCATCGTGCTTTATGTTGGTAGAAATTGTAATGAAATAGTCACGTCCACATAAGAACGAACGAAACACTAAAATAGGTTTTAATTTGCGGAACATAGGAAAACATACATATAGGCATATACGAATACCTATTAGCAAAAGAAGGTAAGAACTGAATTTTAGGAAGACCGGTATGAATAAGTGAGAGATTAAAACTAAATTATTTTAATATTTAACAGGAAGTCAATTTATTTTTGAGTCTGCAATTCTTTAAACGTAGGCGCCTTAGATCATCCACAGTATCGAAAGACCAAGAGTAGCATTTCTCTTAGGTAAGTGTAAAGTTACAAAGTTGTACAATCAAGTTACTATCGGCGAATGTATGAATGAAACCACTGAACTATAATTAGACTGGAACTGCCATGGAAACGTAGCGCGCCGAGAGAGATAGGGCAAGGGGGATTTCTGTCACTGTCACTCATTGGGAAACTGATCATTAATATAAATTCAAAGCATATCAAATAGGCTGCCTTGTGTCCCTCTCACTCGGATCCCGCTGGCCGACGGAGCGTGCGTTCCAATATAATTATAGTTCAATGAATGAAATCTATGAATTGAAATAATAAGTGTGTGACAAGGGGGTGACTATTACAACCCCCTGGACGGCAATGCACCTGGGTATTTTTGTTGATTATTTATTCTCGACCCGTCATTAGGCATCCGCAAAAATTTGATCATGATAGTATGTGCCGTTTTCGAGATACGACAAGGGGGTGACTATTACAACCAGAGACTTGCTATAACTAGACTGCGCTTAACGTATCTAAGGTGTTGTCGACACAGTATGCAACACACAATGCACCGCGGGGAAAAAATCGCTGAGATGATATGCAATATAATGAAATGAGCTGTTATTTTAGATGTTCCATTGATTAATCATTCTCGTGATTAGCTCGAATTAGTGAACAGATAAATTTCTGTTGAGAATAAACCAATAAACTTAGGTTAACTTGTGCCTATCAACATGTACTCTGTCGATAAATGTTTAAATAATATGCTGATTTTCAACGGATAAAAGTTTAAAGGGCCAATGGATCAGAGCCATTCGAAGAGAAAAATTTACTCCCACCATAGTGCATTTGCGGGGAATGAAGCCGATTTTAGAATGGTACCTACGAAGGTGTTAAACAATAATGCAATACCGAGCGTTTTCGACTTTCCCATTCACTTAAAATAACGTAGAACTATTATTCGACATCCTTTACCGGCAACACAACGGCAATACCTATTTGCCTATTAGGTATAGACGTAACTAAGTACTTACTGGTACTAAGTATATTTCAGGTTAAGTTACAAGAAAAATAGCTAAGTCTGTTAAATGTTCCATATGTGCAGATGCGATATTCGCATCAGAGAGT